CACCACCTGCAACGGCCCTGCCGGGCCCACCTGCACCAACGGGACCTGCAGCGTCTTCTTGGCGAAACCATTCTCGGACATGATGACGTCCACCGGACTTGGCGAGGACGTCCTGGTCTTGCACTACCCTAAGGGGATCAAGCACACGTCCGGGAGTAGATTTGTGAGTCTGAATATCTTCTTTCTTTTTACCTTTTCTTCGTCCGAACCTCATTGTGCCAATGGAACTAATAATTTGTCTGGCGTGCGATAACATGATTTGTAATTCGTATTGATTAGTGCTTATTAGATCGAACTTATAATTACTATTTAACAGGTAAGGTGATTGAATCATTTGATTGGACATAAAATTGTGTCAATTTATATAAACATGTGGATTATTTCATGTCATCGTGCATGAACCGCAAGATTTTTAAAAAAAATGAAATAATTCAGAGAAATCTCGCCAAACACAAATAATTATTATTCTATAATTCTTCCGTTTTTATTAATTCCGGCAACAATTTCTTTTCACTTGCGTGGATTCGTTCTGGACGGAGGGTCTGTCCAAATCAACCAAAGGCATGGTTGCCCTAGCGAGAAACCCGAGCTCGCTCGCCTCCAAGCTCCCCACGCAACTCAAACTCCCCCGCGTATTCGCTCTCTGCCTCCCTTCCTCCTCCTCCACACGCGGCGGACCCGGGACTCCTGCGCTTATCGCACGTCCTCTGGTTAGCCAGACAAGGGACTCCAATGCTTAGCCCCAGGTCACCTGGTTGGCCAAACTAGGGACCCTGGCTCTTTGGCTCGGGATAGGTGACTGGGATCCTTGAGGCTGAGGTTGAGTCCCCAATGCTTAGGCCTTGTAACCTAGTGCTTGTGCTTAGGTCCCATGTGCCTATGCCCTCACTGGGGACCTTGGTGGCGGGATAGGATTCCTGGCTTTCCGAGCTCGAATGCCAACCCATGCTCGGGTAGCTCGAGGCCTATTGACACTTAAATTTTGACGACCTGTATAGACATTCATTGCATAGAAAATTAGGGATCAACCTCAGCCCATAAACAAAAATATTAGATAAATTGCATATACATTAGGAGCATTTGCATTAATAGTAATAAGCCCATATAATTTGCATTGGAGTTAATGGATTGGTGTAGGATGATTCTCAGTCTAATTGAATTAGCTGGACTAAGCCTGCGGTGAATGAATATTTGGCCAAGCCCTTTAATTCTATATAAGTAGCAGAAATTTATAAGTGTGAGGGGGTTGCCAAGTTGGTATTTATTTATTAAAAGCAAACTTGGGAGAAAATGAATTTGATATTATCATGATTCAAATCATAAAGGATAATAGAATTTTCCTATAGTTAAAGATAGAGCATATCTCTTGAGAGCCCACTTTAGGAAGGAAAGAGATTCTATTCTTAATTGGAAAACCTAGGCTTGTGTAGGGGTGAGTATGATTTGGGTGGGCGATTCTCACCCTAAAATTAGAAACCGCCCACTAAGGACTTGCTCTGAAAAATTGGAATCGAAAATCGCCCGTTGGTTCCCGGTCCCTATAGATTCACAACTAGACTACAAACATGGTGACCAAGTATATTCCCTGAAATTATCTGCTAACAGAGGCTCAAGTAAGTGCTGGACCACCCAGAGTCATAGCTAGAGCAAGAGCAAAAGGCAATGACAAACTAAAAACCAGCAAATCTCACATATTTTGAAGCACCCTAGGTCAGAAATCGAATTCGCCAATAGCAGCAAAAAGAATGAGTACCCTTAAGCGAAAAATTTCACGCGGTTACGAGTTTGCGACTCAACGACAGAGTTGACGGCATGGTGAGAGCCTGATGCAAGATGTGAGGGAGATGCGAGATGTGTAGGAGGGCTGGAGGCCAGGCGTGAGTCAATTGCAAGTTTGCGACACATCGACAGAATTGAAGGCATTGTCGCGTGAGACTCTCACGATGAGAGTGAGATGAGGATATGGTTTCTTCCTTTTGTTTCTATTTTGAGGACCGCAAGACGCAAGTAGGATTGTAGGAGGATAAATGACAAAAGGTAAGCGAGAAAGACTTACTATAATTGAAAATGAGGCTGGAGCCTGAAATTTATATTTATGTATTGGTCCGGTATGGGAGGGCGGTTCCATGCCTGGGATTGAGAATCGGACTGATACTCACCGGTTTCAGTAAATTGAAACCGGGAACTAGACTAGTCCCCATGGAAACCGCTGCTTCCGAGCTGATCTGGGCAGTTTTTGATTTCTTTGCACACCCCTATGCTTGTGCTATGCTTGTGCTTGTAATAAGTAAGAGGCTTTGAGAGCGTTGAAAAAGTAAAAAAAAAAAAAAGAACAGAGAAAGGGTTGGCCAGGGCCGGACGTTTTTCATCAAGAGGCAAAAGAGGAAAAAAGACAAAGGACAGGGCAGAAAAAGTAAAAAAACAGGAAGGGAAATCTTCTCTCTCCTTCGTCCCTGCGCACACCGTAGCCAGCGCCTCCGTCCTTCATCTTCCCGCAGCAGGCCATCAACACCGGCGAGTTCCGGTGGAGTAATCCCGATGACGCCAGCCACCATCTGACTTGCGACCAGCCCTCTCCATTGCCATCTGCTTCGCTGTCGTGCCCTGCCCTCCTCCGTCCGACGCCACACCAGCACCTTGACGTCGCCCAGCATTCAGAGTCCCTACTTACGGTCTCCTGTTCTGTAGCCGGCGACACTTCTCCATCGCCCAGCAACACCAACAACAGCATCTCAGCTCCCCCTAGAAGCTTCCAGTTACTGTTCCGGCGAGCCGCTGCACCACCTGCACCAACCAAGACACACCTTCGCATCGTTCAGCCCCTGCAGCGTCGGAGGACCAATACTGGCCATCCCAGCGAGTCTCGGGATCTCCGAAATTCCTCCAAGCAACGTCTAGCTTACATATTAAATTTGTCGAGTTTGAGTTTTCCCTTTGCGGGTCCTCCGGTGATTTCAGCGAAGTTGGAGTAACGATCAACCCCTGAAACGCCGTGAGCCCGCTTTCATCCGAGTTCGGGAGTTTCCAGCACCGTCGTGAGATTTCTTCATAAACGTGTGCCCCTTGTTGCCGCGATCTCACGCCGGAGCCCGTTAGTCATAGTTGGAAAACGCCCTTCAGTGGCTCCTCCGTGAATGTAGAGGGGTGAACAGTAGATCTCAACAAACTCGACAAAATATTACGGAATTAAATATACCAAGTTTGAAATAATCGTGACCAGTAAAACAAAGTGTTGATATAAGCAGGTTCTGATTATATCAAACAGTGTGATGCAGTGCTTCTATCAATCAATAAGTACATAAGAACAAAGAGATAGATAACAATAACAATGCACACGAGCTTATAGTAGTTCGGCTTGGTGTAAGCTTACATCCACTCGTCCGGACTAATAGTCTATTGGCTAGATTTTACTTGTCAATCCTCGAGAAGTTATAGTAGTAGGTACTGCTTATACTAAAGTATTTCTTTTTGAAGCTGGTGCTGTTTATATCCATGCAGATAGGTCTCACTATCACACATTTAAGCACAAATTATAACTCTGTCAACACTTGACCGAAGCAAAAAAATAAAAAAGTAAAGAAGAAGAGGAAACCCAAAACCTAAACTAAACTTAATTGTGTTTTTGGTTTAGGTCAAAACATACACCCAATCCATATGGTTCGGTTTGGTTCAGGTATCTTGGAAACCCGAATTGAACCGAACCGAATCGTTGACACCCTTCATTTTAATTGTTATGCTGCAGAAATTTTGAATGCACCTATTTCATGTGAACATATTGAATCTAGTCTTTTGAATCAGATGAGGTTTCTACTATCTGAGAAAAACAAGCACGATGGTAAAAACCCTAGCTTGAGAGCGTAATTATTAGTTTAGCAACCCCTCTGAGTTATGTGGATCATTCTAACATACTAAATTAATCAAGTTTCAAAGCAAAAGCAAGATTTATATCGGAGATCCCGTAAGAGAAATACTTATGGATGTCATATATTGTGATTGATTTTGCTTATCACATTGCCATAATTTATGTACCCATATAATTTGCCTTTTCTATTCTAGCTGTCAATAGGGCATCCTTATAGAAGTATTGTTCAACAGTCGAGGTGGAGTTTCAACATTAGAATAGACCTAATTTAATGAAATTAATCGGCTGCACTAAAAAACGGAAGCGGGTTTAATATAAAGTCAACATCCCTCCCAGTCCTCTTCTCAACCACCTCTCCAACAATGTCCTCACACCTCCTTTCACTCCCCTCTTCCTCGTCGGCTTCATCTTTGCCTTTGCCATCTCCTCGACCACGGCCAAACCCGCCCTGCTCCTATTCCCCGTCAAGAAAGATGCCTCCACCAAACCAGTACTACACCACCCTCCAGCTCGGGACTCCACCACCACCAACAACGTTGAGATTTAACTATTGAAAACGTTGCAAACCCTAGCTCAATGGTCTGACTTGGTGGAACATATGGACAACAAGATTGGTACGGATGGGATCCATCCCACTATCCCATTCTACAGACTTGGAGTCTGGTGTGATTTTAAGATTTGGATTTCGTTTCGTTTCTCACACGAAACGAACATCGATCCATCAACTGGGTGGGCATTAGAATAATTTCTTCATATTCGATCGAGCTGCCTATGCTTTGGACGATAGTGAAGTAACGTGCGACCAAAACGTAGTTGCATTAATTTAAACGGCGTGATTTATTATTGAATTGGACAGAGAGAATTTGTGCCTCGTTACTCAGCTTTTGTAATGCGCATGGCCCGCTGATGTTCGGCGCAACAGCTCACGCTCTTGGGTTCCGAAACCAACGTTGCCTTAGCAGGAAGAGACCTCAATTTGCCTTTCGTTTCTAGCCATCATAAGGCATCCAAGCGGAGTTTATATAAACTCACATTCCTCTCACTCCTCTTCTAAGCCACCTCCCCAACAATGCCATCCCCTCCTTTCATTCCCCTCTTCCTCTTCGGCTTCATCTTCGCCTCCTCTCTCTTGTCGGCCATGGCCACAGCCAAACCCGCTCCGCTCGTATTCCCCGTCTGGAAAGATGCCTCCACCAACCAGGTCTACTACACCACCTCCCTCCAGATCGGGACTCCCCCCAGCTCCATGAACGCGGTCCTCGACCTCATGGGCAGGTTCACGTGGCTCGACTGCACCAGCTACAAGTCCTCCTCCTATCGCCCCATCCCTTGCCACTCCTCTAGGTGCGGGCCCAACGACGGAGGGCCCTGCACCTCCTGCTCCAACCCCCCCACGCTCAGCTGCACCAATGGCGTATGCTCTGTCTTCGTGTTGGCCCCATACGTGGAGGAGATGACGTCCTCCGGACTCGGTGAGGACGTCCTGGTCTTGCCCTCCACGAATGGGATCAAGCACACGTCCAGGAGCAAATTTGTAAGTCGAACATCTTCTTTCTTCTACTTTTCCTTTTGCAAAGGCGAGAGATACACTCAATACTGCATCCTCGAGTAGGAACCTCTTCGACCTGTTTAATCAATAAGATCCAATCGATATTTTCGTAAGCTTAACTGTAACGGGACCGGTTCGTTATTATATATGATCATATCGATTTCTAATATAATTAGAAGTATTTTCGTTTGAACCGAAGTCAAGAGCATAAATAGTTTCTTAGGTAGCAGAAGTTATTACATCCTATGATTCAACCGAAACACAACCGCTTTTCACCTTGTGTCTTAACACCATTCGAAATAAAAAAGTGTGTGAAAATACAGAAATTCGAGGGCGAAAAATGCTACTATTTCTTCCTGACCTCATTCTGCTAATGGGACCGACAATTCGTTCAGCCGCGTGATATCGTGATTTGTAATTCGTATTAATTCGTGCTGACTCGATCAAACATGTAATTACTGTTTAACATGTGAGGTGATTGAATCATTGAATTTGAGATAAGATGGTGACAATTGCTATAAACAAGCGGACTATTTCGTACCGAACCGCAAGACTTACAAAAGATTGGAGAAATAATTCAGAGGAAGATTATTATTATTATAATTTTTCTAATCTTCCCTTTCTCTTCTTCTAGCGACAATTTCGTTTCTCTTGCGTGGAGTCGTACTGGACGAAGGGAATCCCGAACTCCACCGAAGGCGTCGTCGGGCTCGCGACCAACCCGAGCACACTCTTCACCGGGCTCTCCACGCATCTCAACCTCCCCCGCATACTCGCTCTCTGCCTCCCTTCCTCCTCCTCCGAATCCCGCCACGGAGACCTCTACTTCGGCGGCGGCCCGTACATGCGACCCCCGATCAGGCAAGACCTCGCGAAATCGCTCCTCCGCACTCAGCTCCTCATCAATTCCTGGAGCATCGCCGATGTCTCCACCTATGGCGATGAATACTTCATTGACGTAACTGCCGTTAAAATCGATTCCGCTCCAATCACCTTCAACTCCTCGATCCTAGTGATCGACAAGGACGGCCACGGGGGGACTAAAATCGCCACTCTTACACCGTACACGGGCCTCCAGTCGGCCATCTTCAAGCCTCTGGTGAAGGAATTTACGAAGAAGGCGACGGACAGGAAGATCAAGAAGGCGGCGCCGGTTGCCCCGTTCAGGGCTTGCTTCGACGCGAAGACGGTGAAGAGCGGGGTGGCCGGTCCGAACGTGCCGGCGATCGTGCTGGTGCTCCAAGGCGACGTGCAGTGGAGGATCGAAGGAGCGAACTCGATGGTGAGGGTGAGCGAGGACGTGATGTGCCTGGGGTTTTTGGATGTAGGACCGGAGCCAAGGACCGCAATCGAGATCGGAGGTCATCAGTTGGAGGATAATCTGGTGGAGTTCGACGTGGGGTCGTTGAAGTTTGGGTTCAGTAACTCGCTTCTCCTTCAGAACTGCAGTTGCTCCCATGTTTGAGCTGTTGATGTGAAGATGGTAAGTTCGCTAGGTGTTCTGGCATGAATAAAGAAACATGTCTTATACATGATGTACCGATGGAGCTCTTTCCAAAGGACATCGGGCACTGTCTTCATTTCATTTTTCAGACAATGAATCAGAAGGACATCAACTCTCATATCACGCACAACGGACAGAGGTGGTCCCTCTCCAGCGCTACTTGAACTCGGGACTCCAGGGCTTAGCCCTGAGTCCCCTGCTCGGCCGGACCAAGAACTCCGACGCTTAGCCTAGGTCCCCAGGTTGGCCAAACTAAGGACCCTGGCTCCTTGGCCCGGGATAGGTGACTGGGATCCTCGAGGCCTAGGTTGGGTCCCCAAAGCCCAGGCCTTGTAGCCAGTGCCTGTGCCTGGTTCCCAAGCATCCATGCCCTCACCTAGGACCTCGGCAGTGGGCCTAGATTCCCGGCTTCCTGAGCTCGAACGCCAGCTCACGCTCGCGTAACTATGACAAATATTTTCCAAAAACTAATCTCCTGTAACTATTGAGATAATTAATCGATGAAAAGTATCTTCATTATCGACATAAATTCGTAAATAATAAAAATATTTTTCATTCATTAATCGATTCAAGCAATAATTAATTATAAAATATTTTCTAAATTATTTATTTTTTGCGAAATAAACGGATCCTCCGACTTGTTTCGTATCCGTTGCCGAGTTGGAATCGAACTGCCAATGGTTTGGAAGGTAGAGAAGCCACGTGCGACCAAATTCCCATGCAGATGATTATGTCTGAAGAAGTTCCATTAATTTAAACGTCCAACAAGAATGTTTATATTCCATTCATTACATTCTGTGGAGAATGACAGGATTTCAGGAATCTTTTGCTCAAAAGCTCACGATATTGGACAAAGCAAAGATGGCCCTTCCGAAATCTAAGGGTTTATCGTGTTCTTCTTCATCAGTAGTTCAGATAATTTGCAATTAATGTACAAACAGTCAGAGATGGTGGGGTCTAAACACTATTTTAATAGACCTAATCTAATGAAATTAATCCGCTTTTCTAAAAATAGGACGCAGGCGAGTTTATATAAAGCTCACATTCGTGTGGCTCCTCTCCTAAGCCACCTCTCCGACAAAGTCGTCACCTCCTTTCGTTCCCCTCTTCCTCTTTGGCTTCGTCTTAGCCATCTCTCTCTCCTCGGCCTCGGCCACGGGCAAGGCCACAGCCAAGGCCAAGCCTGCTCCACTCGTATTCCCCGTCAAGAAAGATGCCTCCACCACCTGTACTACACCACCCTCAAGCTCGAAATTCCGCCCACCACCATGAACGCGGTCCTCGACCTTGCGGGCCAGTACACGTGGCCTGACTGCAACGCACATGGCGACTACAGGTCCTCCTCTTACAGTCCTATGTACCAAAAGTTCAGGAAATATATTGATCGAATTAAAAGTTGACGCAGCGTTCAGCGAATAATTCAAGCAAAATCTTGCTTAGAGAAAGAAATCTCGAAATTCAATATTGATGATAATGTTTTTCTTCAAAAAGAACCATAAAACAAGCTTATATATCCCCAAATCCTACTAGGACTATAAATCATAAAATATCAAAATTACAAAACTGCCCTTAAAATTAAAACTCATAAAAATATTAAAATAATAGAAAAATCCATGTAAACGATCCCGAATCGCTAAAATCCATCGTTAATCACGCCCAAAGGCCGTGAGTTTTGTTTAGACCGCCGTTAATTTGAGCCCGATCCGATGTCGTCAACCGGGTTCGCCGGTTCTAGTCGCATCACCGTGTCGCCTTCCACTTGGATTTCTGCATGTCCAACCGGTCCAGAAACGCACCACTAATGGATTCTGCATCATTCTCCTCTACTTGAAAAGAACTCGTCCTCGAGTTAAAATCAGGATGTGGATATAACGGCTCTGTGGACTTATGAAACGGTGATAAATCAGTAACATTGAAAGTGTTAGATATGCCCATACTATATGGAAGGTCTATAACATAAGCATTATCGTTGATCTTCTTGCTGACAGTGTAAGGCCCATACTTCTTTTGCTGCAATTTGCTATAAGATCCAACTGGTAATCGCTCTTTACGAAGAAAAACCATGACCTGATCACTTACCGCAAACACCTGCTTCCGCCTGTGCTTATCTGCTGCAGCTTTATACTTTTGATTAGCTTCCTCTAGCTTCTGTTGAACTTCATGATGCACTTCCACGATCTGTTTAGCCATATGATCCGCCGCTACACTCTTATCCGCTTGCTTAGATAACCGTACTAAATCCAGAGTATGCTGAGGCGCCTTTGTATAAACAACAGAAAAAGGTGACCTGCCAATAGAACTATGAACTGTATTATTATAAGCAAACTCTGTCTGTGATAAAGCAACATCCCACTGCTTCGGCTTATCTCCACAAATGCTTTGAATCAAGTTTCCCAGAGTTCTATTAACCACTTTTGTTTGCCCATCAGTTTGCGGGTGAGCTGTGCTACTGAAATTCAAAGATGAGTCAAACAGTTTCCACAAAGTCCACCAAAAATGCCCTACAAATTTGATGTCCCTATTAGAGGTAATAGACTTAGGGACACCATGCAAACGAACCACCTCCTTAAAGAATAACCTGGCCAGACTTACTGCATCAGAAGTCTCTTTACAAGGAATGAAGTGTGCCATCTTAGAAAATATGTCAACTACAACAAAAACATAATCCACACCTCTTTGTGTTCGTGGCAAACCAAGCACTAAATCCATGGACAGATCTTCCCATATATTGTCAGGAACAGGTAATGGCATATACAGACCTGTATTCTTAGATTTCCCCTTAGCAGTCTGGCAAACATAACACTTTTGTACGTACCTGCTGACATCTCTACGCAACTGGGGTCAGTAAAATCACTCCCGGACTACAGCAATAGTTTTATCATGATCCATGTGTGCAGCTAATCCACCATCGTGTAAATCAGGAATTACCTTCTCTCGTAATGATGTTCGAGGAAGGCAAAGCTGGTTGCTACGCATCAAATAGCCATCCTGCACATAAAATTCTTGCACAGGTTGACCAGCAGCATATGACTTCCAAATTTGCCCAAAGTCATCATCATCTGCATAACAGTCTTTCAGCTGCTTGAACCTCAAGGTGTCTTGGCTTAATATAATCAACAAGCCAGCTCTCCTACTCAATGCATCTTGTCACGCCCCGAATCCCATCGAGCTCGCGACATCCTTCTTCGGTCGAATTAGTGCGACGTCCCAGGAATGATTGCCGACCCAAACGAACCCATCAGAGTTTAATCGCGGCGGAAACAACAAACACCCAGACAATGATTTACCTGGGGTACTAGGGAAAATAAATTGTCAAACCACCAAATCTTATACTATACCTCGAATTAAGTACAATGTCCAATTACAACATAAACTTATGCCACAACCGCCAATTTACGAACCACAAAGCAAAATATGCACATTGAACTACTAAACTGCAAACCACCGATATCACAAAAAGATTAGTAGCCTGGATAAGCACTACACCAAAAATGGGGCACTTCCAAAGTCTTCCTCAGCTCCAAACTAATCCCTACGCCCTCTAGATGGCGTCCATCCTGACTCACTCTCTTCGGAATCCTCATCAGGCACATGCTTATCCGACGACTCCGATTCGGCCTCAATCTCGATCGGGTTATCTTACAACATCATGATCAGAGTGCATAACAGTCCCAAAACGCTGCGACGGCGGTAGAAGGTTCATGGCTCGGGCGGGTGCTCTGAAATGGTTTGGTTGAAACAACCATGAGACACTTCTCAATAAGCACACACCCTAAACTCCACTCAGGCTATCACGTACCTCCAGACAATCAACAAACACAATCACACACACACACCCAGTCATCACATAGCAGGCACATCATTTATTCTTACCTGGGCCTATCCTGCGTGCAACCTGCACGTTAGTCATAATCATACCGTACGCAATCACATGCATATTCAAACCACATTTCAAGCATTCCGGCTTGCCTCGTCACATTCTTTCCCACATCACTCGCCAGTGACCCGCGTTACAATACACGCCTCAGGTCCACTGCGACTATCTCATCACAACACTCCAGGGCCCGCGTTACTGTACACGCCTCAGGCCATGTTTCTTGCCCGCGTTACAGTACACGCCTCAGGCTCAACATCTACCACCTACTGCACAACCCGCGTTGAAGTACACGCCTCAGGCTAGCAGTCTTCCGGTAATACCGGGCATCGTCCCGCGTTGAAGTACATGCCTCAGGACAGCACAATTTCCACAATCGCACATGCCACACCACATTCACTCTCTTACTCATGCACATGCTCAACAATCATTTGCCACACTCAATTGGCCAATCACACGTGGCCCGTGCACGCATTAATTCACACACAATTCATGCTCACTAAGCATTTGACATGGCCAATTTAACAATTAATTCAATTTGGTCCGAGCGTGCACATAACAAAACACATTTCAATCCATCAAATCACGGTACAATAAACACACAAGGCCACTCACGGGCCCACACACACAGCCACGTTCATAGGCATAAATTCGACATTTCCAAGCTCATTTCCAACCATATTAAACACCACAATCCAGCCACACTACCACCACCAAACCGACCCCATTTGTCCTTAAATCGAGCCCTAAGCTCGTCAATTCCATCCCACAACGTCTGGCACTCTATTCAGTCTCACTCTAGCCCCGAAACATCCTCATTTCATCCTCAAATCAACTCATATAACACACATTCAAGCATCAATCCTAGTCACGAGGGCAGCAACTATTCAACCTCGACACTCCCGCCATACCGCTCATAAAAATGAAATCCATAGAATCAGGATAAATCTGAGTAGTTTACACAGTGACCAAAATCCCATCAAAATAAATAGTAAACGAACTCCAAAAATTCTAAATTTTGGATATATCATAAAAAACATCTTGATTAACATTTCTTATGAAGAACACGAGATCCAATTCAATCTGGAACCATGCCTTTTTGTCCCTCGAAATCAGACCAGAATTAGTTCGCTCTGACAGACTATTTTGTCCTCAAAAATACATTTCTTTCAATACCCAAATCACCTTGAAAATCTTTGAAATTTTTATATGTCATAGAAAT